AAAATTCATACAAATTATCCGGCCAGAATATAATTTACATTGCTGGAATTCTTATAATTTGGTGATCATTTTGAATATAAACAACATATATTTTGCATTAAACATACAATTTTTAGATAAAAATTGTTCTCTAGGTAATTATGTTATCTTTTGTGAAAAATATATGACATTTATATTCAAAATATTCCTGGTCTTACAAGGAATCCAGCAATGTCAATTATATTATCCTAACTTTAGTTTGAGGAATTATTTATTACTATACCTGGTTTTCCCCCAAAAATTTCTCAGAGGGAAGAGCCAGTGAGTGTAGTGTGAGAAGAGGGGGAGGGAGTTGAGTCCATTATTTGAATGGACATTAACTTGGCGACTGTATTTCTCTATTTCTCTTAAGTATTAATTGTGTGCATGTACCATCATAAAATTAAGATGTTATTTTTACTACAACATAGTTATTTGTCGTCAAAAAGTGGAGTTTGGGGGTCGGGCTGGGTTCTATTGGAATTAATCCCATATGTTCTGTTATTCACTTAACGCGGTTTTCACTTAACGCGGGACCCTCTGGGTTCAATTGACCGCGTTAAGTGGGGTACCACTGTATATATATATATATATTTATATATATATATATATATATATATATATATATATATATATATATATATATATATATATATATATATATATATATATATATATATATATATATATATATATATATATATATATATATATATATATATATATATATATATATATATATATATATATATATATATATATATATATATATATATATATATATATATATATATATATACAGGTTGTACCTCTCTAGGCCGGCATTCTGTGGTCTGGAACGATTTTATTTTGCCCATGGAGAAAATTAATTTGAGTCTGGTACTTTCGATGTTTGGCTAAATTTGGCCTTATTTACCCTACTTTTTTGGCGAATTACTACCTGTAATAAAGCAACATCCTAATAAACCAACGAAAATAACAGATAAGTTAAAGAAAAACTAAAAACAACACAGAAAAAGTTTTTATGTTCTACAGCTTCAGCTAGAGTTGAACCTGATGACCTGGCAACTTTGTCATCCGAGTAAAAACACACACACCAACATTGGCTGTCCTTATGTTTTCAACTTTACTACCACTGGTGGGTAGAATTTTTTTTTAAATTCAGAAACATTAATTAAAATATATATGAACAGTAAATAAGTGTTGCTTTCATATTCTTATGTAGAGTAATGACAATATGTTCACATGTGCGCACTTACATATGCGCAGTCTCACTTTTTTCCTTTACCATTAATGGTTAGCTACTTTTATTGTTCCATTTATTAACATTAAATAACATTACTTAAAACAACCATATTAATTTTTTACATTAATTTTACTACAGCTACAACCAGGGTCCTATTTTCTTCAGTTTTATATGTAGAACCAGTCAGTTACTGGTTTTGTAAACAACGAAAACAATGCCGTTTGTCTCCTCGTGTGCTTTAATATTCTACGTATTATTAATGAATTGTATTGTTCATTTTGCATATATAAAGATTAATTCAATCAAATACATATTCAGTAATAAACAATAATGAATCTTTTGTACATATTCTTAAAAAGATAAATGACGCGGTAGCCTTAAATGCGCACGTATATGTTGGCGTTCCCAATCCATCTCTTTTTTTTTCTTTCCCATTAGTGGTTAGCTACTTCTATTGTTCCATTAAATAACATTTCTTAAAACATACAGTATACAGTACAGTGACCCCTCGGTTAACGAACTCAATCCGTTCCAGAAGGTCGTTCGTTAACCGAAACCATTGTTTCAATGGGTTTTTGGGTAATTGGTTCCAGCTCACCGAAAATTGCCTAAATTCAACAAAAAAGGTAGAAAAGTACACTTACTTTGAGGTGTGTATGTAGAAGGCTCCTGGATGATGATGATGGGAATTAGAATGGGGGTGGAGGAGAAGGGAGAAGAGAAGGCATTGGGGTGGAAGAGAAGTCACCCCATGGTGCCATTTCACCCATAGAATTTTAGTTCTCTTGGTGTAATTCAAGATTATTTTTTTAAATCAACACTGCACTGCATTATATATTGTCAATATATAAAATAAATTTCAAAATGACCAATAATTTGCTTGCAAACACAGAAAAAAGCGTTTAGTTGAAGAGAGTCTCAAGCAAGATGTTACCTCCAGTGAAAACAGAGAGAGACTAACTCCTGTTTGCTGTGTAAAGAAGCTGGATGCCGTGCATTAAACTAGTCACTTTACCTTCAATTATGTTCAATAATTGTTCAAATGACTAAAAAATTGAATATTAAACTTTTAAAATTATTGAATACTGTAGTATAAACTTCTTGATATTTACTAAAATAGTAAAGAATTTAAGCCCTAGAACCGATTAATGTATTGGCGGAATGATACTAAAGCTGGTTGCCCGGTCAGTGCAAGCGAAAACATGTTGAGGTCGGTTCGTAAGAAATTCGTTAACCGAATTTTTGTTCGTTAACCGAATTGAAGGTCCTTATGGAAGGCAGTTCGTTAACCGAAATTTCGTTAACCGAGGCGTTCGTTAAACGAGGGGTCACTGTATATTAATTTTTTTACATTAATTTTACTACAGCTACAACCAGGGTCTTAATTTCTTCATTTTCTCGTGTAGAACTTTCGTCCCGGACTTTCGGCTGTAAACACAAACGAAAACAATGGCGTCCCAGCTCCTCTTGTGTGACCATATTATTATTCATTTATATTGTTTAAGGTTCATTCGGAAACATTATTTAAAGAATATCGTTTGCAATTTTCAATAATTGTATTGTTGTGGGGGAAAAGAGGGTAAAAAGCGACACAAAAGATATGAAAAGGTCACACTTGGGAATGCATCTCATTATTATTGCTTTATTTTAATGGTAATTAATGATTCGCGATAAGACGATTCACCTTACACTGCAATATTGGAGGACACGTTAACGTCGTTATTCGAGGCTTTACTGTATAGTGATTTAAGGGCAATTTAGGAGTGCTTCTGACTTTACACTAGGTCCCAAGAACGTAACCCCTGTGGGTAGCTAAGTAGCTCAGGCGCCAGAAATTCTCGCTTAATCCAAGCCACTAACGCTGCTGAGATACGCGTGCCTGCTGTGCTGAACTTTCACTTAACGCGCATTTTCATCATATACGCCAGAGTGTCCGCCCGAGAGCTATTTTAGATTCAGACACTTCACCCGGGCCACCCTGCCTTGACTGCCTGTTTTAGCTCATAAAATTCGCAATTATTTTAAATAGTAAATATAATTTACATTGCTGAATTTTATATTTAGATTACTTTGAATATAAACAAATATATATTTTTGTGATAAACATACAATTTTTAGATAAAAATTGTTCTCTAGGTAATTATGTTATCTTTTGTCCAAAATATATGACATTTATATTCAAAATATTCCTGGTCTTACAAGGAATCCAGCAATGTCAATTATACTATCCTAACTTTAGTTTGAGGTATTATTTATTAAAATTTAGTGGTTATCCCACACATCTCCTTGGGACGGTTGGTGGGGGTGGGGGGGAGGGAGGGACCGACCGACCGACCATCTGTTACCCAGTGAAGAATTATTTTTTTTTTTATTAACTGAAGATATTTGTTTTAGCTCATAAAATTCATACAAATTACCCGGTCAGAATATAATTTACATTGCTGGAATTCTTATAATTTGGTGATCATTTTGAATATAAACAACATATATTTTGCATTAAACAAAATTTTTAGATAAAAATTGTTCTCTAGGTAATTATGTTATCTTTTGTCCAAAATATATGACATTTATATTCAAAATATTCCTGGTCTTACAAGGAATCCAGCAATGTCAATTATATTATCCTAACTTTAATCTGAGGTATTATTTAATACTAAATGTTAAAAACTCTTGAATGGAGGATTGGTGGGGGGTGGGGGGAGGGTTGGGACTGACCGCGAGGTTGGAAGAGGGGGGGAGGCAAGGTGGGGTACTTTGATTGACAGATAGTGTTGAAGAATATTTTATTTTTTTTATTAACTGTAGATATTTGTTTTAGCTCATAAAATTCATACAAATTATCCGGCCAGAATATAATTTACATTGCTGGTATTCTTATAATTTGGTGATCATTTTGAATATAAACAACATATATTTTGCATTAAACATACAATTTTTAGATAAAAATTGTTCTCTAGGTAATTATGTTATCTTTTGTGAAAAATATATGACATTTATATTCAAAATATTCGTGGTCTTACAAGGAATCCAGCAATGTCAATTATATTATCCTAACTTTAGTTTGAGGAATTATTTATTACTATACCTGGTTTTCCCCCAAAAATTTCTCAGAGGGAAGAGCCAGTGAGTGTAGTGTGAGAAGAGGGGGAGGGAGTTGAGTCCATTATTTGAATGGACATTAACTTGGCGACTGTATTTCTCTATTTCTCTTAAGTATTAATTGTGTGCATGTACCATCATAAAATTAAGATGTTATTTTTACTACAACATAGTTATTTGTCGTCAAAAAGTGGAGTTTGGGGGTCGGGCTGGGTTCTATTGGAATTAATCCCATATGTTCTGTTATTCACTTAACGCGGTTTTCACTTAACGCGGGACCCTCTGGGTTCAATTGACTGCGTTAAGTGGGGCACCCTAATATTGGAAAATTTTGATAATTTTGGTAGTAGTGATAAATTTGAAATGTTTCCTGCACGATTTCCTCCTCAAAATAAAAAAAATTATAGCTATATATTGTATAGGAAAATGTCGATAATTTTGGTAGCCGCGATATAAAAAAATCGCTATACTGTATATCCCGACCCTACTATAGTCAGAATTCAATGTTTTGGAAAATGAGTCAATTTAATGTGAAACACTTTTGTGCATTATTTTTTTTTTTAGTACTGTACTGTACAGTATTGGTAAATTTTATAGTTTAGTTATATTATATACTATTGATGAATTTTATCTTCAGGCTGCCCAGAGCAAGTGGGAACGAGACCCTCTTCAGTATGCATGTAAAGCCTATTGCTCAGCAAGGCAGGAGGTTAATATCCTACTGTCTCTGCGCCACCCGCACATTGTGCCACTTGTTGGTGTTTGTCCACGTCCACTTGCTTTAGTCCTAGAATTAGCACCTCAAGGAGCTTTGGATCAGTGTCTGAAACACTACCAGCGATCAGGAGCCAGATTATCCCTCCACACACTTCAAGCTGTAATACTACAGGTAGGATATTTCTTCATATTTCAAATTTAGTGATTGAGGTAAAACAAAATTTATGGTATACAGTATATAGGTTAAGCTACATTGTTGTGGTTTTGAGAAAGGTAAACTTAAATTTTCTTAAGATTCATTTCTTGTTTTAAATCTAAAGGAAAGTGCTGTAATTTTTTGTAAACAGGTTGCGAAGGCTCTGGAGTATCTCCATGGCCAACACATCATCTACCGTGACCTGAAGAGTGAGAATGTACTGGTGTGGGAATTGCCACCACCATTCCACCACCAACCCCATCCTAGAATAGATGTCCGATTAGCAGACTATGGTAAGTACTGTATACATTTATTGAAAAAAATATGCGGGGATCAAATGTTTTGATCATTACGTCACAATTTCAGTAGAGTATTTTAATTTTTTTAATTTTTTTTTTATTTTTTATTTTTTTTTTTTTAGGGATTAGCCCACCTGGGCACAGGATACTGACCCTCATCAGGACCTGGGGGGAAAAATATAATAATAATAATAATAATAATAATTAAAAAATTCATATTAAATTTTATAAACAATGCAAAAATAAAAATAAAATAATATTAGTAATTATTATAATAATAAAGAACCATAAAGAAATGCAAAAATGAAAAAAATGTCAAGAGTGAGAAACAATATACTGTATGTATGTTGTGTTGTCAAAGTGAGAGAAACAATTGAGACCTGCAATTGTGTGTAAATGAGGCAGAAAGTCAGATCAGCAACCATTAGACACATTATGTTTTCAATATCTTCCCATTTTGGGTGATAGTAAATCACTTTCCGTGTTAAAAAAAAATTCCAGGCAAATCCTGATTAATTATGATTTCATTTCCAAAAATTTGCATAAAAATAATGTCCCCAAATTTACAAGAATTTTTTTCCTTTGCTACACTACTACTACAGGTTGTACCTCTCTAGTCCGGCATTCTGTGGTCCGGAAACTCCCGTGGTCCGGAACGATTTTAGTTTGTCCAATAGGTAGATAGGCAGCTTTTTTTTTATTTATTTTTTTACTTATCTGAATTATTATTATTATTACAGGAGTATTAAATTTTTGCCCCTCAGGCCCCAATGTGGGTCAGTGACCTATGCCCGGGTGGGCTAATCCCCATAAACATAAAAACAACAAAGCCGCGGGAAATTAAAGTTTGTTTACATCCGGCAGTTCGGCTGCTCTCTCTCTCTCTCTGCTTGTCTATACAGAGTACAACATTTAACCCGTCAATATATATGAGCAGTAAATAAGTGTTGCTTTCATATTCTTATGTAGAGTAATGACGATATGTTTTCACATGTGCGCACTTACATACGCGCAGTCTCACTTTTTTTTTTTACCATTAATGGTTAGCTACTTATATTATTCCATTTATTAACATTAAATAACATTACAGGTACTTCAAACAACCATATTAATTTTTTTTCCATTAATTTTACTACAGCTGCAATCAGGGTCTTATTTTCTTCAGTTTTATATGTAGAACCAATCAGTCACTAGTTTTGTAAGCTTTAACATAAACAATGCCGGCAGCCGTCTCGTCTCATCGTGTGTTTTAATATTCCACATATTATTAATAAATTGTATTGTTAATTTTGCACACACAAACATTAATTCAATAAAAACAAATTCAGAAACATTAATTAAAATATATATGAACAGTAAATAAGTGTTGCTTTCATATTCTTATGTAAAGTAATGACGATATGTTTTCACGTGTGCGCACTTACATACGCGATCTCTCTTTTTTCTTTACCATTATCGTTAGCTACTTCTATTGTTCCATTTATTAACATTAAATAACATTACTTAAAACAACCATATTAATTTTACTACAGCTACAACCAAGGTCTTATTTTCTTCAGTTTTATATGTAGAACCAGTCAGTCACTGGTTTTGTAATCAACGAAAACAATGCTGTGTCATTTCCTCGTGTGTTTTAATATTCTACGTATTATTAATGAATTGTATTGCTCATTTTGCACACATAAACATTAATTCAATAAAAAAGACATTCAGTAATAAACAATAATGCATCTTTTGTACATAAGAGAAATGACGCTGTTTACACGATTATGCACGTCGTCTGCATGTTGGCGGGCCGTTCAAACCCGTCGAAATTCAAGATTCCGCCGTCAAAATTTTTATTTTTATTTTTTGTGTGTTCCAATAAAATACGTTAAGAATTATAAACTCGCGAAATTTGAGAAGCTACTATACGACATTTAACCCTTCAATATGTCTTCAAAGAGACCATGATGCAGAGAAAGTGGTGCTAGTGCTTCCAAGCATAAGCACAAGTCATTATCTATCCAGGAAAAGGGTGAATTTTCATGGTCCGGTACCGGTCAGGTCCCGAGGTTGCCGGACTAGAGAGGTACAACCTGTACTACTTTTTTTTTTTTAATACGTGGCCTCCATCCTCCCCCTGTAGCCACACCTTCGCTGCCATTTTTTTTACCTTAAAATTAAATATCCTAATACACCACTATTTTCCTATTTAGGTATCAGTCGATCAAGTTTGCCCACTGGTACAAAGGGTTTTGGAGGGACTGAAGGCTTTATGGCTCCTGAGATGATGCGACATAATGGAGAAGAGGAGTATACTGAGAAGGTATGGTATGCTACTTCAACTGTATTTAAAACACAAAAAAATAATGTGGATTTTTAACTTTTGAGTACATTGAATGGTCAGATATTGCAAAATTTTTGAAGGCTTCATACTAATATGCTTGATTGATCATTCTTTTGACATCTTCTGAATTTCATGTATTGTGACTTTAAGCAGCTCCTTTATGGCTTATAAATATCTAGGGTGATCTATCTCTCCCCCTCCCCCATACCTACAGTAATTGTGGAAATAGACTACAGTATTATATTAAGATGATATGATTGGTGAAATAAAAGAAGAACATTTAAGTTGGAAATTATACAAAGGATTAATATTTGAATGATTAAAAAGGGAATTTTTAGTTGAGATTTTTCTTTTGTTCAGTCCACATACAGTAAAAGTAAAAGTAGTACTGTATTGGACTGAAATGTAAATCTGATCAAGTTGGTGCTTGTATGCAATCTTATCACTTACTTGTATAACTTACCCTTTTTCATTTAACAGGTTGATTGTTTTTCATTTGGTATGTTCATGTACGAGCTGCTCACAACGCACCAGCCATATGAACATTGTGACAACGTCAAGGAGCACGTCCTGGAGGGTGGCAGGCCAGCTCTTACACACAGAGTAATTACTAAGATAGTTTTGTAATTTTATTATGGTTTTATAATTAGATAAGTTATCACAGAATTGATTGCATTTTTATTCTCAGAATATTTTGTCTTCGGAAAGATTTGTCCATTTCTCGCATATAATACATATATATTAATTTTAGGGATTTATTTCATTATAATACGATGATCATAGGTTGTCTCCTTTGTGTAGGGGCTTAAGGGGGTTAAGGGGATAACCTCATTCGGGATGTCATGCTTTGGAGGCTGATATACTGATGCCTCACCCCTTTCCCGCTCCCACGATCCACACTAACTCATGGGAATATTCATTTTCTTTTACTGTATTTTCTTTGTCTTTTTACGGAATTATAATCTTCTTGCACACTCTGTATAGAAATGTGTGTATGTGTGTGTGTGTGTGTGACATTACACTTGATGGAGAGAGGTGGGTGATTCAGCCTCGCAATACAGCTCATTGCCTCCACTTTTTTTTTTACGGGGATTAGCCCACCTGGGCACAGGGTCACTAACCCACATTGGGGCCTTGGGGGGCGAAAATGTAATACAAAAAAAAATCAGTAAATAAAATTCATAATGAAAATACAAAATTAAAAGTAAAATAATTCACAGTAAATAAAATTTATAAAAAATTAAAAATAAAATAATAAAATAATGATAACACTAATAATAATAATAACACAATAATAATAATATCAATAATAGAGAACCATAAAGAATTAAAAAAATAAAATAAATAAATAAAAATATGTGAGAAACGATATACAGTATGTATGTTATGTTGTCAAAGTAAGAGAAACAATTGAGACCCTGTAATTGTGTGTAAATGAGGCAGAAAGTCAGATCAGCAACCTGGGACTTGGTCATAATTTTCGTGATGCCATATGGCAGCAGGGTCTACCATTAGACAATACATTATGCTTCCAATATCTTCCCAGGCGGTAATTCCTCCCTGTTTGATAGCTGCCTACGACATACCACATACCTATGCTCTTCATTTTTCTCATTTTATAATTTGATATTATATTTTCCTTATTTCCAAGCCACATTAGAGTCCAGGAATATCCCGGTTATCACAAGGGATGCTTTCCTAAAAGTCATTGCGATTAATGAGGCTGCGAATGTCAAGGCAATTTTCCCCTTATGAATGAATGTAAATGGGGGGGAGGGGGGGTTGCATTCCCAGCTGGCAACTTTCACCACATATTTCTCGATATATACTCTTCATTGCCCGTGGCTGGTAGGGACCAGGGTCACGTGTATACTGTAGTACAGTACCAGTAAATATGAGGAATAAATCAAAATTATACTAATAAATAAAAGGAAAGAAAAAATATCGCACTGCCAGTTGGCAATAATTCACTATGCACTGGAGACTGGAGCGGCTGAGATCACCACCGCTCCCTCCTCACACAATCTGGGCGACTCCAGCCGGCTGTCGTAAGAAGTGTTAATTATCTTTATGTTTTTGACCTTATGATAATCATTTCTTATGTTTTTTTGCACATTCTGTACTGAGATTGTGTGCATGTAACAGTAAATGAAATGAAGAGAATTTCTTATACCTTAGTAAGGAAACACCACTACACACATTAGTATAAATATTTGGCTAATAATAGGGACAGAAAGATAAATACTGATAGGCTAAATTCAATGGCATTTTTATAGAAAATAGTATACCTATATATAAATAAACTAAATCATTTTGTATTGTACTCACTGATGGGCGGAGGTGGTGGAGCGAATGTGCGCTGGTCCGGATAATAAGCACTGCTGTGGGGGTTAGACCTAGCGCAGCAGCAACGTCCACAGAACGTTCACCTTTCTCAAAACGGTTTAAAACCTTCATTTTTGTAGCAAGGCTAATGGTCTTACACTGCAGTCTTACACTATTATCAGTAGCACTTGTTGGGCATTTGGAAGCCATTTCGAATGGTTAGAGTGCAGTATCAAAAAACACTTAAACATGCACGAACGCTGTGGAAACCTAACAAAGACTGGGGACGCTGTGACACTCTGCGAGTGAGAGCGTAGTGAGCCAATATGAGAGAGGGTGATGCGTCGTATAAAGTGGTCCATGAAATGTTATACTGCGGGACGTTATCCGAATCATGGATATCTAAAGAATAGCGACATTATAACGAAACAACGTTATCGGGGGCAACGTTAAACAAGGGCTTACTGTAGATGATAAAAATAATACATGTGTGACTAATATTAATTTTCCAAGCCAACCTATATTATGCAATCTATTACCATACATTAAAGTGTGTGGTTGTGGACTGAACAGCTAACTCGCCCTGCGCGTGGTCGTGTGGTTGACAGAAGTGCATGGAATGTATGGTGGTCAAACTCACAAACTCTAGGTCGAATGTAGGAATTGCTTTTACTTTTTACTTTTATCCTCTTCACCACTGATCGGCTCGTTAGCCGTTTGGGCGATCAGTTATGTCTCTTTTATGCACGGTTGGCAAGTACTGGGCATGCACTGGCTCCTGAATGTATCTGAACCTGCTCCATTGTTGGTCAAGTCTGGTCTTGAAAGAGCTCACACTCAGTGCCGTCACCACACTCTGGCAGATTGTTCCAAGAGTTCACAACTCTCACTCCGAAAAAGTTACCCCTCACAATTATCCGGACTTGTGTCTTCTTTAACCTTGAGCTGTGTCCCCTTGTGGGGCGAGCATCCGCCAGCTCCAGGTAAGGACACTCGACTGAGTAGTGCCCTCTGAGATGCTTGTACACCTCAATCAGATCTCCCCTTGCCAATCTGAAAATGTACACATTTTAAGTTTACATACATAGATTTATTGACTTAAATTATCTTACATTTTATACATTGCTTCAATATGTTTTGTTTCAAAGTGTTAGTGGTACAGCGGTAACACACATAACTCTCACCAATATGTTAAGGGTTCGAGCCTTGGCCCAGACGCACATGAGAAGGGTGTTGTCGAGTGTGGTTCTATCAAACATCACAGGTTTCCCGGTTCCGAAAAATCAATTATTATTATAGGAATATATGATGAAATAGATTAAGATGAGTGAATTATAGGAATATAATTTGAATTATATAAAGATACTGTACAAAACTACGTTTGGGTGCATATCCTGGGAGAGGAGGTGGCGGGTGGAATTTGGATAAAAGGAAATGCACTGCAGATTAGATGAAGTTTACAACATTGGATTTACCATAATAGTGAAGACGTTCTGCATACAATGGCCAGACATGAATGGAGGAGGTTGTTGGGTGTTACTGGGAACTAAATTTTACCAAGGGATGTTGAATATTAATTTGCAACGCTAAAATGGTACCAATTAGTGGTAAAACTCGAGATCCTGCTGTATGCAATAGTATACTAACAGATGAAAGCGAGCATCCTAGAGCTGCATATGACAATGAACAGTGAGTCACTGTGTGCAGCTGTTATCGTCGCTTCCACCCCTTGCCTGCCAATTCCCACACGCATGACGGCGGGAAATTTGAGGATTAAATATCTTCCACCAAATGCGGTTAAAATATACTTGATGTGGATAAATAGTAGTATTGGTTTCAATTAATTTTGCATGGTAAGGCCCTGGTTCAGCTAAACGATCGGCGGTAAAATGATCGTTTACTGTACATGAAATTCGCTCATATGCGAGGCTCCTGGAATGTAACTCCCGCATACTTTGAGACTGTACTCATATCCAATTTCTGATTTTACCAATATAAAGCTTTTTTTTATCACACTTACTGTGTTTAGGAATCGTTTTTTGGGGGGTGGGGTAAAATACAAATTATCTCTCTTCATTTTTCAATGTTTTTATTGTTTTATGTGAAAGAGCAATCAGTTTTACATTGAATGTAGTTGGCTTCATACAAAAACAATAAATTGGTTGCCGAAAAGTCAGTTCAAAGAAAAAATAGATACAGCAATGCTCTTCCATGCCAGAAGGTAATAATTAGTCGCATATGTGTGCGAGGATGATGTTAGGAATATGGCAG